GTTCTAATTCAACACAGTCTTATACCATGACTCACAAAACAGAAAAAAGAAAGTAGAGCTATCACGTTAGAAAATTAAAATTGACATTTTACTTTGTTTCGATAAAATAAAATGTTCATTTAATTTAGAATAGTTGATCGTTTTAATACTTTTATTTCGAGTCTTCCTTTTTTAATATGATCTGTTTTCATTTGTCTAGCCTTTTTCCATTTGTCGTATAATAATGCTTCGAAAATGATTAACACTAATTGTATAACAATAAATAAGACGAATTACTTGAAAACGTTTAATGTGCCAAAGAAGTTGTACTGTATTGCCACAGTTAACCCCCAGATGATGTATTTAATGGTACCATTGTATTGGATATAGAAGACATTTGCATGGGTGGTGCAGGAGCCTGCTGCTTTGCCGCTGGAATTTTCAAACATTCAGTTACATTCCATTGAATGAGATTAAACTTCGCTCGATAAGTAAGCGGTTATTACTTGTGCTTTAACGTGCATTCAGTGCAGTGTTGAATTCAGCGTAGAAAAATTAATTAGTTTAAAAGATTAGGCGTGTGTTAATCCAGATCTAAAATTTATCAATAAACTACATTGGTATCACAATACTTTTATTACTTTATCTTACAAAAATTTACAAGCAATGAAATATGTCTTTCGTCCATGCATGGAATCATAGCAAATTGATTAATCTATGAAATAGGAATCTGATATAGTGACTCATCAGCAGCATTAAATCACATGTATGAATAAATTTGATATGCATAATCTTAGAAATGCACGTGTGCAGCAGAGGACAACTAAAAACTTACTGAAATAATTCAGCGGTATATCGTCTAATAGTATGATTCAAGAAAGAGTATGACTGACTTTCAAACTTATTGTTCTTACCGTTTCTGCTGCTGTAGATTTTTTGAAACCCTCTGAATGGTTCCGGTGGCGGGAAATTCGCGATAGAATGAAACATGTCCGCGTATCGTATCTCTAGGTCTAGAGTGCTCATGGTTTGGCCGTTGCGCATGGAAGAACTCCTTGTTGGAGGTGTTGGCGGTGGCGGCGGCGGCGGAGCGAGTCTCTGATGGGTGGGAGCTGGGCGATGAGGAAGAGGTGGAGGAGGAGGTGGTATACCAGGAGCGCTGACAGTAATTCTTGAAGGTGGTGGAGGTGCCACTCTGGTCGCGGTGGTAGCTGTATTATTTGCTCTAAAAGTAGGAGGAGAGGGAGGTTTGGCGACCGGGTGTCTGAGAATTCTATTCGTAGGCCTTGGTTGTGTTTCATTCAGGCAATCTTGAGACTGATGAAGAGAAGGTGTAGTTGGAGCTAGCACAGGAGGTGACCTGGGCAATCGCATACTTTGTGCTCTAGACACACTTCCTCCTGTAGTTAAATTCAATTTCTTAGGAGGTGGAGATGGTTTGTGCAATGTAGTTGATGGAGTTGAAGGTGGTTTAGGTGCAAGAGTAGGTTTCCCAAATCCCTTGGGTGCCTCTGCATTGGAATTTGCAGAGTCTGTAGTAGTTTGTCCTTGTGTTGAGTTGGCCTTCTAAAATGTTACATAAAATCTTTTAGTATATTTAATAATATAGCTTCTTCAGTATGTTTACCTGAGCAAATATCTGTTGCTTTTGAATAGCTGATGGTGGAACTGGAGGTGGACCTCTTTTTATGCAAGGGACAGTGGACTGACCAAAATTTGTATTATTTACATTGTTCTGGTTCTTTTCACCTGAAGTAGTCCTGAGTCCTGTAGGCTTTAGTTTAGGCATACCACTAGAAAATAATCCACCTAACCCTATAGGTCCTCCATTACTGGTAACATTAATTCCACTGCTTACTACATTAGAACTATTTTCCCTGGTATTTGAGGAAGAAGAGTTTCCTAGCTCACCCTTTACTCTACCTAAAAGAACAATATATTAACTGTAACAAAAATATTATCCATAAGAAATGTGTATATTCCATAACATACCACTAACTGCAGGTATACTCTTATCTACAGTCACAGTTTTCTTTAATGTTTTCCCAGCTCTGATTGACTGAAGGAGTAAACTCCTATCTTGTTCTGTTGCACCAGAGCTGGATGCATTGAAGATAATAGGTGGAGGTGGAGGTGGTGCAGGCATCCTTGTTCAATTTATGCAAAAATACTTGCCACTCCTAACAAATTAATGAAAAAAAAGAAGAAAACAAAATGATTGTATTACTAAAAAACAGTAAATTCTTCCGGTCGAATTAAATTGTGGGTGGTAGAATGTATAATGGCTGAAGTACATTTTAAAAGATAAGATTAGACCTCCTACAGAGAAAACACTACAATTAGGTTAGAGCAAAAATAATTTCCATATTTTCTCTATTGTTGTACTATCGTACTACTGATCTTTATACTCTAATAATATATATCTAAAATTTAATAAATATGTATTACAAAATTGTTTACCTAAAATTGACAGAAAGATTTTGCACCCACAGCGGGACGATCTTTGAAACTACCGCACTTTGTGTCCGTTTCTGATTCACTATGAACGAATAGAACCCACAACATTCCAAAATTTTCCAGGGGCGAAGCGATTCAAGTGCACCGCTGTTTTTTACGTGTATAAGCCCAGATCGACCCGTCACGCGTACAGATGATCGAATGAATGTACATCCCGATAAGAATACGCCGTTTGTTTATAGCATCGACGAGTCATATTCGATCGAACATGCACACGTCGAATACACCTGAATACACCACACCTGGGAGGTCTTAAAGTCCTGCCACTGAAACGAGAACAGTATCTTTCTCTTGTAACCGTGTTCTCATTGGTCATCGAGTAGAGATCTGCATCCTCGATTTCCATTAGGGAACAACGCATCCCTTTTTAAACATTCCGCCTAGTAATTGTTTCCTTATTGGTTCATTCGTTCCAGAAGTCGGAAATAATAAAGCATTGTTTTTTTAATTTATTAAATACGAGGAAATGATAAATAGTTTTTGTAATGTTTGACAAAATTTATTGCTAATGATGTGAAATGTTTTGCACGTTATGCTAAAATTATAAAAAAAAAAGCACAAGGAATACGAAATATATGTTAATTTAGGAAATATAATTAACATACAATAACGTACAGATATACAGGTGATACAACAAGGTTTTCTTTTCGAGAAAACTTTTGATATTTTATCATAGTGAATAAAAGCAATTAAACATCTTACCTTTCATCATTTTATTTTGTATATTATATTTATCCAAGTATCATGCCTGAAAAGAGATTAATCGAATGCAACGTTATTGTCCCTATGTGCCATAAAAATTCTGCTATAATAAGGTGAAAGACTGAACATCTCTACGAGTCGTAATATCAAAAACCGTTTATAAGTGTAAAATTCATTTTGTGCAAAAGTTTCTTTTTATACAATTAATATACAATTTTATATGTACATATTTACAGAATCCATTCGTCAATATAAAAATAGATCATACACTATATGAATTATGATAATAATCCCTGTAAAAAGTTCCCTCTCTTTTTCACTTCGTCGCAGAAACTGCGGTATACAATGTACATGCTACATTTATTCAATAAAATCCAATCTTTCATCGATGTCGTTAACGTAAAACAACAACCAACGTTCAACCAACAATTTTTCCTTTTTGACTTCTAAACACTCTCAGATACGAGCACGATTTTAATTCTTTTTCTATTCGTTCGTTACATGATTTGTTGGTTGAGCTTTTATTTCGTCCATTTGCTCGGATATAACAATATCAGACTGTTCCGTGTCTTTATGTAGAGCGATAATAATTTTCTCTTCCGTAGAAGATTGACTGTCAGAAGAGCCTTCCTGCGTCGAAGTAGCTGCTTCCTACAATAGAAAAGAAACTATAAAAATTAACCCTAATTTAATTATCCTTTCACTCTGCTGCTCTCGTTTAGAAACGAAGTAGACCCACTTAGACTACAACTTCTCTTACCGTACTTCGAATCTTCGTATGTGTCTTTATGTGCTTTGTCAAATGGTCCGATCGCATGAACTTTTTCGTACACTCAGGACACTGAAATCTCTTCTCTCCTGTGTGAGTTCTACGGTGCCTCTGAAGCTCATCTGACCTAGTGAATTTCTTACCACAAAATATCCAACTACAAACAAACGGTCTTTCACCAGTGTGCCACCTTAAATGAGCTCTGAGATGACTTGTTTTTCCATACACTTTATTGCAACCTGCTATGTGACAAACGTGTTGCCTTTTCCTGGTCATATCTCTGTTCCTATACAAATAAATGTACAATTTATAAACCTTATTGAATAAAAATTATTTTGAAAATAATTACCTATCACCATCGCCACAATTGGGACACGTGCAAGCAACTCTCCTACGATGTTGCTTACTGGAATCTGTTTCAACGTTTGTGGATGCTGCAGTTGTTACTTGATGTTGATGAGACGTAGGGGTAGGTGTTGTTAATGTGTTATTTGACTGAAGAGTTTGCAGAATTTGCCACTTTGTCGGATCGTTAGAGTCTAATTGCACAGTTGGAGCAGCCACAATAGGCGCAGCTGCCGTTGCAGGTAGCGTTTGAACAGTAGCAGGCTGAAGAGCACTTGCAGGTATAACTTGCACATTACCCAGGCCTGGAATATTTTGCACCGGTATCGATTGAAGAAAACCGTTCGTTGCGTTCATTCCTGTGGCTGGTTGAAGTTGCATTATACTTCCACTGCCAACGCCCCTCATCATGTTACCTTGTTGGGCAGTTAGGTTCGCTAACGCAGATGCAGGAATTAAAGTTAGTTGTTGAGCTTGCGTCCCTGTAAAATTGAAATATTAATATTTCTTGAATAAAGACAAGTAAGAAGAATAACTGGCTAATTGCCTGGCATCAATACTGGTTACTTTGATATCACCTTCGACTGCCTCTGGTGGTCTAGTTAAAGCTGACAACGTTTGCACATCAATTTTCTGTCCATCCTTCGTAGTGATTACGTTACTGGTCCCTGGCACTGGTCTCCCAAGTGCACCAATTCCAAGCACCTATAAAAAAAATTCAATGAGAAGAAACGTTTGATAAATTAAACTTAAAAAAATAATTAATCCATTTATTGTCTTTTACCTGAACGTTGCTTGGGGTTGTTACCGTCGTGCTCCAAGTTGCTACAGTCGAGGATGGTGCAGAGGATTGTTGTTGCGCTTGTTGGACCTGCTGTTGCTGCTGTTGCTGTTGTTGGATCACTTGTTGAACAACTTGTTGTACTTGTTGTTGCTGCTGCTGCTGCTGAACTTGCGCTTGAGCTGCTTGTTGCTGTTGTTGTACAGATTGCACTACTTGTGGTTGGGCTTGCTGTTGCACTACTTGCTGCTGTGCTTGTTGTTGAGCTACTTGTTGAGCTACTTGCGTTACTTGTTGACTCTGTGATACCAATACCACTTGGTAATATATCATCACGACATAGAAAATTATTTTATTTTACACTCACCTGTAAACTTTGAAGTTGTGGTAAGTTGGCGATTTGGACCTGCTGAATTTGACCATTTGGTGTAATTATTTGTGCTACTTGTGGGATTTGCTGCAAGGAAATTTCAAACAATATATACAATTTTTATATTACCGAAAAATTTTTATTCTACTTTTATAACATACTTGGGTAATTTGCGGTATCATTTGTGTGGCAGGCACATTGAAGACACTAGACAATGCTTGAACAGGAAAATGCACAGTTTGATACACGGTTTGTCCATTACTGGCAGTGACCGGTACTTGTACAGGCACAGTTTGCTGAACATGCTGCATAGGGAATTGAAGTGGTCTAACTTGAACACTTTGTCCTGTAATATAAAAAATATTAAACTAAGTGCTTTATGAAACATACTTGATAATTACTTATGAATATATACCTGTTGGTAGTTGAACAGTTTGCCCAGTGATATTCTGTATGATAGAAGTAGGAAAGACATTGGGTGCCCTTATCAAACTAACTGGTTGTGGTGTAATAATAGTCTGCCCATTAGCCAGTTGTACTTGCTGACTAGCAAGCTGAACTTGTTGCCCATTAGCTGTAGCAAACTGCATGGTGGGCTGGCTTTGATGATGCCCACCTGCAGCAGACATAGCAGAGGATGGAATGAAAAGTGCTTCTTGGCCATCAATGTTAACAGTTTGCATCTGTGGTATAACACTGTAACTGAGTTGCTGTTGTGGCTGCTGTTGTTGAGGCTGCTGCTGTGTCTGCTGTTGCTGTGTTTGTTGCTGTTGCTGTTGAAGAGCAGCTTGGGTCTGAGTACTGATCAATTGAGCACCCTAAAGCAATCATTGTATCTTAAAAGAAGAAATAATCCAATCATTTATCATTCTTCTAAAGATCACTTCTCTCACCTGCAAGAATTGCTGTGGTAAAGATTGCACAGATATAGTTTGTGCTCTCGGCTGATCATGTTGTGGCTGTTGAGTTTGTAAAGGCACAAAGTTTTGCAGTTGCTGTAAAGTAATAACTTGTGGCTGTTGCTGCTGCTGCGCTTGCTGTTGTATGTCCTGCTGCTGTTGCAACTGTTGCAGAACATTTGCACTCAAGAAACGAATCTGTGGCTGGGTACTTTGTTGTTCCAATTGTTGCTGCTGCTGGTCAGACTCATCCTGTTGTTGCTGCTGCGTTTGCAGAGGATCATGGTCTTCTATCTCCTCCTATTATTTATCAGTTCCATTAATTTCTATGAATCAAGAATGGAAAAGGTAATCTTACCTGAGTGATGTTCCTTCCATCAACGCTTCGTTTCATCATGAAAATATCCGTCGTGTATCCTCACAAACGCAAATAACGCCGACGTCAACGCTAATTTTACGTTGAGCACCCTTATGCTAGGAATCCATTCTTTGCTATACCAACTTGGGCCGTCTATTCACACTTCGATACGCGAAAACGCTCGCTCGGTGAGCGTTTAATCTGGAAAAATTCAATCATGCATTAGTCTCGTTCTATTCCACTGTATGGCTATTTAAAACATGGATCTTCACCGACTTAGCCACAATCGCAACAACCCTGCCACTCCAAGACTGCATCTGGACTCCCTTATTCCTAACCAATATTTCCAAAGTAAAACTTAAGAGGACAACACGGTGCACGCGTATACACGGGTAAGAAACATCAACGGCTCGAACACGATATATCGACACGTGCGAGGACCACTCTCCGGAGACAAAGAAGGCCAGAGAGAGCACTCCTCGAGAACCCAATCGAGGACCGCCTCTCTACGCCCCTGTCGCAGCCGCCCCACCCGCCGCCGCTCGAAATATCGCACGCCGTAGCAAGGACGCGCATACCCACCGACACAGAGGCGCACCGTGTGTCGTCACACCCGCCCACTCGGTCGCCTGGCCAGCCGTCCGCTCACTCATACATTCACCAACCTGCGATAACGGGGAAGGCAGCCTCGCGATGCAGCCTCCACCCACTTTGCACATGGGACTCCACCTAACTCGCGAACGGCACGTGCTTCTCCACAGAAACGTCTATTCTGCCCTCCCGCTTATTTCCCTCGAGGAACCCGCTACAGCCCCTTCTGCGCCGTTACACTTCCTGTTTTGCTGGGGCCGCCATTATGGACTTCGACGAATAATTCGAACGATCCCTTCGCGCGTGATAGATTTTAACATCATAGAAGGAAATTCTTGTTACGAGGAAAAAAGGAACGTTTACAGATGCACACACGCAGGCACTGATATACACATACGAACTAGGACGCGCGCGCGCGCACTGGGCGGTCAGCGATCGCGGTCGACGATCTACGCTCGCCTCCTTTGGTCGATACCTCCGCCTCTCTCTAGTCCGAGAAATCTCTTTTATCTCAATAAAATCGTAATTATCTAAAAATTAGTGTATCTGTTGTCACTGGTTCGATCAACTCGCTTGGTAACACTAGGGAATCGACGCTGCGTTTAAAGTTGCCGCCAAAAGTACGGATACGAGTCGAGCCAATATTCCCTGTCCTGGCTCGACGCTTGCGGAGCCTCCAAAACCAAACTCCTACGATTCTATACTCGATTCTATATCACCTAACACACGATCCGATTTCAACGTGATTTCAACACGTGCACGTAGACCAGCAACGTGTCAGTCGGCCGTCCCTCGCGAAAACAGGGCTACGAATACCGCTATGAGAGGACTACTTTCGCCGTGGGGCGGTACACGAGGTGGCAACGTCGCCGTCCGCCAACTGTGCGTACGAGCGCGCTGATTGGTCGTGACCGGAGCAGAGGTTCGTTAGACAGGGGCGTACGCAGCAACCGTCGGACGCCCACCCCGTCGAAGAGGGATAAACGATGCACACCTCCTACTTTCTCTAGCCTTCCTTCCCCTCTTTTTACCGGTACCCCCCGGTCAGGGCCACGCTTGAGCGGGGTCGCGAGCACCGATGCCTTGTCGTTAGCTCGTGCTTTCTCCTTTCATCTAACATACTGCGAGGACCGAGCTAACTGATTGCCAGATGACGAGGGCGATCTGGAGAAGGGAGGAGCTGTACTACTCCCTCGCTATGCCGCCGCCCTTCTTTTCATAATCAGAATTTCGCTCTTTAGTTGGCCATGTATGGTGTTGTCGAGTAGGTTGCACGCGAGCCAATGTCGAAGGCTGATTTCTCTGGCCTTTCTCGGCTGATTCAATATGCCACCACAGATTTTCGTGCCTTTTGTCTGAAAATATTGATCGATGAAATTTAATTGGAAGAAGCCTTGGTAATATACAGGATGTTCCATGGATATGTTGCACGTTACCGCTGGTTATTGATTCGTTCCGAGATTTTGGTATTTGTCTTTTAGTTTTGGGAAAAAAATGTACAATGATAATAGTCCAATATGGGTTTTTATTAAAGTCAATGGCAATGACAAATGACAGTGAAATAAATTAATCTATAACATCGATCCATATGTCATGACTGCGTGACGTTACCGGCAGTAAATTAAATAAGTAGTATATATTTAAATTAGATAATCTATATAGACTGAGTTCCTATAATATACATTATAAATAAATCCATCCTCGATTAGCTTACGATCCATGCGCGTGGGTGACTATACACATGTAACGTATATAGTACCTGTATGATACTTTATGACTTTTGTTATAGTCAGCGAATAGTAACAAATTGAAGAACTGCATTGACGTTTGACTTTTGTAACATCGGCGTTTGACAATTATAGTGAGTGTAGTTCAATGATCGCGATGGAAGTGTGTGGTATAGTTCTGTCCCTGAATATTGCACCTGAGCATAGTACACGTATATACTCGGTCACACGTTTCTTTTAAATCACACCTATATACAGATTAGAATATATCCGTCCTCGCTTAATAAAAAACTGAAACGCTGTACACAAGATATTTACATATTAAAATTCAAAAATTCGAGATAACGTGTTTGTTTAATCGTTAAATAGTTTTAAATTAGACGCTGTTTACGCGGTTGAAACTTCTCTTTCTCTTCGTCTTCTTCACTTCGTTCGTGGTCGTTGTAGAAAGTATGAAAACACAGATATAGGTCTGCAAAGTAGTAATCCTAGAGCAATTTGTACTAGAGTGGGCTACATTCTTGACGTTTAGAGTGAACAATGATAATTCGTCATAGCAGTTTGAATGTATGTGTTGCATGGGTATGTGTGTGCATGGGTTTGTGTGAAGCTTAAAATTGTACAATGCCACAGAAGGTGAACCCCATTTTTTACAGTCCACCGCCTGATCTTTCTACGCTGATCTGTTTCTTCAATATATCTTTCTCATGCTGTGCTTCTTCCATCTCGGCCATCCTGGCGAAGCGCGAGTATGCCACGTGTCCAGATTTTATGGCAGACATCATCTATATAAAATTAAACATAACGCATAATCTTGGAAATGAAAAATAAAAAGAAAAAGAATAACTTTTTTTTAAAGAAATTTTGTAAAATAATCACAGTATTGCCGTCTGGCACAAGAGCAGCATGATACTAGTATACTTGAAAAACCAAAAAGAAAAAGATAGCGAAAAGTTTTAAATAATGTTCACACATTAGACAAGACACATTTTGATTAGACAGGCTACCTATAGATGCGGTTACGCTCTAAGAACGAACTGTTCGTGCAACGGAAAAAAAGGTGTCAGAAAAAAACTTTTATCAAGCGAGACTATAAAGGAAGAGCTTTGTTACGGGTAAATATCTATTTCTATCCAACAGGTCTTTTTTAGATTTCTTTTTTCGTTAATAGATTCCGAATGTTATTTAATTATATGTGAAATAAATGCAACAAAAAGGAGATTTGAAAGCGGCAGCAAGACTATACAGAAAATCCGTGCGTGCGAGCTTTCACAGACCTGAAGATATTCGTCCAACTCAACTTGACCATTCATATTAGTGTCGATTTCGCGCAGTATTTCATGAAGCTCTTCACCAGGTACTTCCTTGTCACCGAACAGCTGCGAACGGGCAAAAAAGGTACCGATTAAATATAATGCTTAATGATTTACCTGCAGGTAGTCTTGTAACTCCATTTGCCCATTGTAATTGAGATCAATTTCATTGAGCAAAATGTGCATCTCATCTTCGTTCATTTTTATGCCAAGTACCTGTACATCGACAATTAATCGTGTAATGAAAAAAACAGGAAATGCAAGCTAACTTTAATAGAATAATTTAACCAGACCTTGAGTCCTCTTCTGATGTCGTTAATGGAGACGTAACCCTTGTTGTCCTTGTCGATAATTCCAAACCGCTTAATGTACAACTGTATCTCCTCTTTCGTGAGATTAATAGGAATCTTATCGCGAGACGCACGATTTACCATTTGTCCCATCTCGTTGGCAAGGAACTCACTAGCCTCTTTGTGCTGCCTCTTCTTCTCCTCCGGTGACCAGTGTAATTCCTCTGACATGATGTCAATAATACCTGGGAGAGCCTCTTGTGCCGCTTGGACATTCAGGAACGCTAATCTGAGTCGTCGTGCGATCATGTCGATTGCTGTCCTCGCGTACTCACGAACGCCGTACCGAATCTGAAATTAATTTAAATTAGATGTGACAATAAATATGTAGAGAGAAAATAATTAGAAAGAATGGCCAATGGAATTTACTTCAGCATCGATATATGGAAACTCAGGATGAAGTTTTTTGCCTATAATTGGCCATCGTTTGCCAGTGAGAGAGGCCATCTTTGCTACAGCGAATGCACGATCACCATAACTCTTGGCTAAATGTTGAGCAACCTCGCATTCCAGACCAAAATCTTGCACTAATCTGATGTACATTGTTGGACTCCAACCATGAGCTCCCTCCAGGAGAAAATCATTGGTTTGACAGGGTCTTTCTGGTTTCAAGTCGCAAGCTAAAAAACAATACAAAAATTAATAATATTAAGGAAACAATCTTCAATATATTTGTCATGTGTACCTTTGATAGCTGCATCGATAGTCTCCTCAGCCATCGCCCTGTATGTAGTCCATTTTCCTCCGGCTATCGTTATAAGTTTTGTGGGACTAACGTGTACAATGTGATTTCTAGCAAGTGACTGAGTGTTAGGTTTGTTAGGATCGGACACAAGAGGCCTGATACCGCTCCAAGCGGACAAAACATCTCCTCGACGAACTTCAACGTCCGGGTTGAGGTAGTTCTTGACTTCACGTAAAATGAACATGATTTCGTCCTCAGTAGGTCGGGGATTATGCGTTACTTCGCAGGGTAAGTCAGTCGTTCCTGCGATCGTTTGTTTCTGCCATGGTAAGAAGAAGATTACTCGGCCATCGCTCGTTGATGGATCTAGCAAACCCATCTGATCAGGGCTAAATAAAATTTGTACAGTTATAAATATTTCCTTGAACCATTCTTGCAACAATGTAAAAAATATTCACCTATAATAACCTGGAAGAACGATATGAACACCTGAAGAGGGGCAGCAGATTTCCTTCACATCCTGGTCGTCCATTTTTCTGATATGATCTGTAAATGGTCCTGTTGCGTTTATTATCGCTTTTGCTTTCACGTCCCATTGTTCACCGGTGAGTTCGTCTTTCACGCGAGCACCAGTGAGTACTCGATTACCATCCTAATTAAAAAGAAAAAATATTGTTTTCATGAACAATCTATTTGCACGTATGTAGTTCTTATCTATAAAAGCTAGATAACAATCAACGCCAGTACCTTATCAAGACCCTTTGTGAGATTAACTACTTTGACGTGATTTACAACCGTTGCACCATGTCGCGAGGCTGTCAGAGCGACTGCCAAATTCATTCTAGCATCATCCTGTTGACCTGTTATAATAAAAAGAGCATGAAATTACTAGTGATAAAATATTTGAAAGAAAACATTAATAAAGAATGATGAATGCACGCGATAGACATGTACCATCATAGTAAACAATAGCCCCAGTGAGTTTGTCACCCTTTAACATGGGGAATAACTCTAATGCGTCTCGTTTTCTGAGAAAATACGATGATTTCACTGTCTTGCTTCCAGCTACGACATCGTACATCTTTATACCGAACCAGAAGTAAGGAATCTGCCACCGCCTGTTGAAATATAAGCGGTTGTTAGATAACAATTTTCATAAATTGCTTTCTTGTCCAACAAAGAAACGCAATTAGAAATTATCATACGTATAAACAGGCAACATAATTGGCAAAGGATGAGCAAGGTGAGGTGCATTGCGTAACATAGATGCTCTTTCTTGTAAGGCTTCGCTGACCATTCTGTACTGCTCTATGTCTAACTGCATTATAGCCTTCTGAAGATAACGAACTCCTCCATGGATCAACTTTGTACTCCTAGAAGAGGTACCAGATGCAAAGTCATCTGCCTCAATTAAAGCTGTTTTCAAACCTGAAAGTTACATGTATGATACATAGTTTGTCTATATATATTTAATTAAATGGTAATAGATTAAGAGATTGATGAATTACCTCGTGTACATGCATCCAACGCGCATCCAGCTCCTGTTGCACCACCACCAACAATAAGAACATCATATTCGTCATGAGTTTTCAATGCCTTCACCTGATCTTCTCTAGTTGGTAGAGGCCTTTTTGCTGGCTTTGTTTTTGACACATCTGCATGCACCTACATATATAAAATATAACATGTGTTGATTAGCTGCGCAGCATCACCTGTTGGTAAAACAGTCAAAGATGGAGCGTATAGATCATGATAAAAAAGCAATCCCCGCGTATTTAACACAGATTGAACGTCATTGATTACTTTGTCGAGACGCGAAACAATTATCACGATATATTTACGAGTATATACGACCCCGTATTGGATTGCGGCCTTGGATAATCAACCTTAGCCGGCTGACAATATAATCAATTACTGCTACGATTCTTTTCGCCGTGATAATTGAATCAAATGATCATTTGTCACGTGCCTATGGCCTATATACCCGTGTAAAAATATATGCAAAAACGTATTCATTTCTTTTTTCTTAATTTATGCAATAAATATTCATCTCAAAGTTGTATAAGATTTTTCATATTTATTTCGTTTGTTCGTCTAATCGAAATAACAAAACTGGTACATTCTGATGATACACATATATGGCATCAAGACAATCGTGTATTGAAATAGTCGAGCATCCCTGATAGCTCATCCTGGCCTGGCACAGACCTTCCTAGTAGTGAAATTTTGGTAATCACGTGACTGCTCGCTGATCACGAAACACTATACAACCTTGACTGTACGGCATAGATTACGTTCAGTAATAGCTTTTCGTCGCACGCTAACTTCAGAAAACACGCGACTGGTAGAATCTGATTTATTCCGGCAACAGCAATGCCTTGTATCAAAATTTTCACTTATTTGCATTTCTTCTACGTAACTATATATATATTCGATATAAAATGAACCTTAAAAAATTCGAATTATTTCTTTCGAATTACTTTACTTACTATGATTATCTAATATTATTATAAAAACCATAACTAAGTATTCTTGTAAAAAAAATCATGTACCTTTTTACGAATATTTAAAAAATTCCAATGATTCTATCTTTACTGATATTCTCGTGCTTTTTAACATAAGCCCATAAATAACTTTCAATCGGAAAGTTCCATACCAATCGTTCGATCATTTTTTACAGGAAATAAAACGAACATGAAAAAAATGCAAAGTAATACAAATCAATGTATCTGACAATTAATTATACTCACGGTATTGTCGGACATTAACAGATAAGAAGTAAGGGCACTGGCACCGAGAGCACTCGCGCCCCCCACTAATAGTTTCAACGATGCCATCTTACGTCACTCACGTGGGACAATCTTTCAGGAAAGATCTGGAAATGAACAGAAACGATCGCGTCATACACCGGTTACATAGTTACATAAGGTAAAAAGACCAAGTAGAAAAAAGTATGAGATATCGATAGAGGGTTATTAGCAAATACCCACATAACACGAGATAAGTTGACTACAATAGCAAAAAAATTGTAAACAGTTCGATACAATACAATGAATCGATGGCTACGAAACATCACATATAATTTCTTTGGACCGATTAATCGGTGCCCTTAATCTATTTAATGAATCACCGTTCGTGTTATTTGGCAATGTATCAACAGGTGCAACGTGCACTAGGGAATAGTCACTGAAAGATGCAACAAATATGTTATGGATAGAACGTCAAAGGGTCAGAGTAATTGGCTGACTATCATAAATCGAATTTTATTATTTTTGTGGAAAAAAGAATTCTTACAAAAAAGCTAACTTTTTTATAAATATTAAAATAATTGTTAAATGTAAATTTAAAGATAAATCAAGAGGGCAAAGATCTACGTTTTAAAAATGATCTATTGGCAGATATCCCAATATATAGGATAGAAAATATGTACCAATATATACGATAGGAATAGTCGATCGCACGTGACATGCCATTCCTGTATCTTTGCACCGTGTCATGTGGCATTCCGATGTGTCATGCGAGACATCATGCGTACAGCTCTGATATATTAACATTTTTCACGTGTATGATGTAACCGGTGCTTAATGATTATCATGTTACTTGTATGTTTTACGCTATGGTATTAAAAATAAAAATTCTTAATTATTTTTGCATTGTTATTCATTTATATGAATTGATTTATGTTGAAAAATTTTGATGGTGCCATTGAAGAATCAGAATGATTACCATAGCTGTCAATGTAATAAAAGTTTCGGATATAAAGCAATATATACACTGTAATTACATGACGTGCTAAAACTTCCTACTTACGAACGAGGAAACCCGCGCGATAAATGGTTAAATACATACTTATGTATATACACGCATACACAGTGAACACTATCGAGTTATCGCCTTTACAAAATATGCGATTGATAATGGCTATGTTTTTGATGGCACACTATGTATATATGGCTAATAAAATTCATAATCGTTTGCGGATGATTTTACTGAAATTCCAATGTTAAGTGTACGCATTTACGACATACCGACTAGATTCGCACATTTTTAGCTACGAATCATGGTTCCACATTTTAACGATAGGGCGTGTACACATATATACATGTAAGTAAGTCATGATAATAAACATAATGACTGCTTTAAATACAGGTAAAAAAGTAAATAAAAAGCATGTAAAAACGTGGTACTTTTTTCAAATTGGAATACATGTTTCAATTATTAGAAGCATGAAGATAAAAATTACATTTATACATATACATATGTATATACAAGATGATCTAAGATGGCCACCCTCTATTTTATCGACAGCTATCTCTGTACATTTTTACGATCTATTTTTTCTCTAAAAAGTCAGTCTACTTCCAGAAATTTATTATTGTTTTATTAACATAATTATTTACGCAAGGCGGACACTTTCACACCACCAGTAAAAATGATCGATAAATTCGAATTCAACCGTGACATCCCAATCGCGACGCACGTGCCGCTGACGCATTACTTTTTCTATCTAGCGACGCGTTAATTTTTATTTAAGGGTCCAATTAGTTCAAACACGATAAAAAGTTACAGTAGCGGTTGGAGAATACGAGGTTCATGTTGCATGGTTAATTACGACGTTTTTTGCTTTTCATGCCATTATTGTGTCGGTGTCAAAAAATAATTCACATTATGCTATTAAGACCTTGACAGTCCCCTAAAACATGTGGAATTACGTAAGCGAGCTGCTTATGTTAATCAGCAGACTCCAGCATTTTTCCTTTATCTTTTCCTGTTTTTTTATCAAGCATTAGTGCATTGAGATATCGTAGACGAAATATTCGGGTGAAAATATAGGAAATAATTTACCCAGTCGGATCTGAGTGTCATAAACCTTTCCACAATTATATTAGACTATATGCATATTGCGATAAAGCAAAAGTCGAGAACGGTGTCGCAAAGCTGCGTTTTAAAATAGCACCCGCAAACCCTGTGCCAAATGCCTTCGAGTGTTACTTGGATTGTAAGCGTCCTCATTATACAATCCAGCAACACGTCACGAATTCGTGAGAGAAAAAAAGAAGAGAAAATATTCAAGAACACTTATTCAAATGTCGATGAATGAAACATAGTAAACAATCGTTATCCCTTAATGAACAGATCGTCCCTAACAAGCCACCCCCCAGTACTAGGAACTAACGACCTCACAAGTTAAGTTATTCGAATTTCCATAAAAAATTAAAGAAGATGAAGACCACACGATCTACTCGTAAAAGTATTTGCTAATAAGTTGAATAATATGCATTAAACATTTTTATTTGAAAATGAAATATTATTTGTGGAATAACTGACAATTGTGATTGTGTAGTAACAATATTACTCACTGTGTATGGAACTGACAGTTACTAAACTGTGAAACACCCGCGCACAGTGGTGGTGAGTGCAATCAGCAAAATTAAAAATTAACGGTGCACATATTCAAGAGAATGCTGTCACACATTTCACTGACTCGCACGAGCGAATGGGACCGTAGTGAACAATCAAGCGACACTTAATAAAGATGTAAACTGACGCTCCACACCGCCATCTTTTATGAGTTTGTTGAATGAAAAAGTGGCGCGCTTATCAAATGCAAAATAATTCTATCATAATACTATGCCAACTTGAATCTATCATTTATTTTTTTCTTTAAACTTAACTTTTATTATTTTGAAGATTCTGAAAAAATTAGTTGGATTTATTACATTCAAAAGCTTCACGTATTGGTTCAATCAATTATATTATTTTATATTCACATTTTTTGTACAAAACAAATGGTTTCCTTTCACAATGTCAAAAAACAGATTAGTCAAAAATACTCGGTATCTTATTATTTGATACTTGCAAATCGTTCGTAAAATAGTGATTCTTTTTCTCTTGGTTATCTTATGTAGCATAACTTACATACGAATTATGCACCGTTCGTACCAGAAATAAAATAATCTTTCGTTATTTTACAAGCGAAGTATCTGTACAAATTAGACACTCGTTTTAGTTATTTTGAACAATGATAAAAGTATTGAATATACAATAAAAGTCTTGTGTATTAGACAAAATAACATCCGAAATCTTAATGCTAATAATAGGTGGTGTCACATGTCGGCTCTACAATCTAATAAAATAAAAGATGTAAACATAGTACAAATGCAGAGGATGTATGATGAATGGATGTACAATAAATAGCAAAAAGTCATTGCAAAAAAAAAAGGTGTAGTTCCGGAAAGTCCCGGTGGCCGAACGACACGAAATTTGGGGGAAGGGGGAGGAGGGTGGGTCGACGCCAAATATAAAACATTAGCTTCAGCCAACCATTAGTTTCCGAGATATTAATAAAAAACTTTCAATACTATACATTGAAAACTGCGAATACAAACATTACTAAACATTGAATGCTACTTATCCAGATGTTACTAACAACCATCTTCACTGTAGTGGTTGCCACCCTCACTGTTGAGTGGCCTCAGTATCTATAGTGTTCCACGTAAAATTTTGACGAAACAATGACTGTTCTGATATTGCCGGCCGGATAGATATTTGGCGGTATTATTAGATACAGTGCTCTAGCTCGACTGATCGGCAACATGATTACATATATAATTAGTTTATGCTAGATTAAAATCCACGCTTTCAGTGGCTGCTTTGTTCAATGAGCCTTATTTGGATGAAATTATCACCCTATAGATACTGGGCCTATACTCAACACTTGACGGCAACGACCACTACAACGAAGACGGCTGGTTAGTAACATCTGAATAGGCAGCACTCACTGTTTAATAATGTCTGTATACGCAGTTTCAATGTATAGCACTGAAAGCTTTTTACTAATATCCCGGAAATTAATGATTAGCTGAAGCTAATATTTTATATTTGGGGACTACTCCACCTCCCCACCAAATTTCGCATCGATCAGCCACCGAGGCCTTTCGGAACTTTATCCAAAAAAAAAAGATCAAGACACACAATGTAGCTAAAATCTACTATTTACACAAGTTGTTATATCAAAATATATGATCATTTTTTTATTACACAATTAGTCATTCTTTTTTTTCCTTTCGTATTATTCTTGTGAGCTAGAAATATGAGTTAGAAATTACACCTCGTCAGATGCAAGCACCTCTCTGTCAGTGGGTGAAGATGACTTCTCTTTTCTCTCATCTTCTTTCATTTGAAGAGCAACTGCGGATTCAAGCACCCGTATCCTGCCCTCGTGTTTCACGATCACTGCTTTCAATTTTCTTATTTCCTCAGTAAATTCTTTCAACAGTTCCTCCTAAAGAAATATAACTATTAAAATCTTCATCTAAGAAACATGTGAAAATAACGTACAGTAATGCCTGCAGAGGCCTGTGTTGCATTTTGTGCAGAATTAGAAGAAGCAACTTTTGCCCCTTTGCTCAAGATGTTCGACTTCTTATGCACTTTGAGCTCATTTTTGGCTACCGAGGGCTGATACCCATCCCTTAAGGATATTAATACAGGATCAGCGTCAGTTCCGTTTTCCCATTCTTCAGCAGAAATCGCAGCTGTGTCGCCAGGGGTGTCAGGATACAAATCTTCTTGAAATAGTTCAGACTGAAAATGAATAAATTGTATTATGATGATATAACCGATTATATATCAGAGATATGTTTAAATTGTACCTTTCTTGGTACAGTCATAGAGATAACCTGGCAAAAGCCTGAATTGTTGAGCCGATAAAATCTAGTTATTTCACAGCTATTAACATCACAGCCTCGTTTTGGCATCATTCCTATACCTCGTTGAGGGTCAGGAGTTTGAAATGTATTGATATAGTGAACAAAAGGAGGTTCAGGGGTAATCTCAAAGTATCGAATCACAGAATCACCCTTCCCACATAAATACACTAAATTCGTGTCAGGATCGTACAGGGGAAACATAACTCCATTACTTGTATCCAATTCTACCATAACTATGGGTTCACCTAACATGTCAGGGGCACGCAGTGAATACTGCCTCTCAGACATTTTACTGAAACCTGTGGTAAAGATCAAGCCTCCCCTGAAAACATAGTAAACACACATCTTTGTGGACACATTTAAAACATATGTTCATACGTACAAATATAATTCCTACAAAAATATATAATTGATTTTTAAATATTATACCCTTATACAGTATAACCATTTTATCTTATTGCTTCTTGAATTTTTTTTTATTTAAGTTAATCATCAAAACTGAATAACATCCACCTTGTTACAACATTTGAAAATTGCTGTGCCTCTGCACAAACCATTAAGTCCATATTAAACCATACAAATGTGAAATAACATAAAACAAGTATAGCAATCATTAAGGAACTGTGTTGTTTGTATGTCAAATCATTACAAATTGTATTTAATTAACAATCAGTGTATCAGCTGGTCACTGAATTTTTTATGATATATTCGTCTATTTTCCAAAACAGATGTCAATAGCATTCAAAATTGTATTAATGATTTTTTCCTGATTGCAAAGATCACACTTTATCATACATATTAGTGTAGTTATTTCACTGTACTCTGTTCTTGTACACATATTTATTTATCAATATGCATAAAATGTTATATTTTAAAGTAATAACTTGATATACAATACTTACTGAAACTTTTATGCAGATACTACACAGTGGACATCTTGATACTTTCATTTATTAAGCTGACATCCTCCTGATGTGTTGAGAATTTTCAATCTTCAAGTTTTCCATTAAAAAATACCAAATCTCGCACTACACAAATTGGAAAGACCATGTGATAATAAAAAATAAGGATATTCTTAATGTGCAAATAGAAGTGTATCTATTATAGAACTTTAACAAATACTTCTTATACGAAGTATGAATCACATGTCATTAAAAAAATACTACAGCCTGCTATAAAATAAATGTCACATTTTTGCTGTACTCTATTACCCTGGATAAATATATATATATACACACACACACACATGTATGTATACATACATATATTTGTGTAAAAAGGCGGATGTATATTGTTTGATGATTATTTAATGTGAAAGATATGTTGATAGTGTTTTATTATTCCTAAATACATTTTCCAGAAACAATTATATGAAACTTATCAGCTTTTATGTGCATAATGGTAGAAATATTTATGATTAATTGCATGTAGAAGTAAAAACTGAAAGACTTTATGCATTTATAAGTACCCATTGATGGAAAATTTACATACCTCAGAAATATTGCACGTGTTGCCTTACTACCTTCATGTGCAACAGCTTCTTCTAATATTTCTCCTGTTCTTGGATCCAAAATTCGAATTTTCTTATCTTTACAAGTAGTGACTAATCGGGATCCATCCCAATTCCAGCATGCAGAGTAAATCATGTCTGGATGACAATCTATTCTCACTATGGCCTCTCCTGTGCCTACATTCCAAATCAAGACAAGATTGTCTGATCCAGCTGTGAGCAACACATTCAATGCTGATGGATGCCATAATACAAGACCAACCCTACGCTGATGTAACTGAAGGTCTACCACAGATTCAGTTAATGTCCTGGAAATACCACCATCTGGTATTTGCCATACTTTAACTACGCAATCTTCAGAACCAGATGCTATGACATTGTCATTATGGGGACACCATGCAATGTCTAATACAGGACCTTTGTGTCCACCAACTAAAGGGTAATCTGCTGGTATTCGACCTACCTATAATAATTCGAAGTAACTATCAGGACTACTTTCTAAGCATTCATTCAATACTTGTATAATCTTACTGTGTAAATGTCAAGTGCTTTAACATCACTATAGTACAGGCAACTCTTGAATGACAAATGTAATTTTTCTTCACCTTATTTGACACTTTGTACAATGTATATCAAGTGTTACTTATGAGGTGCCTGTACTTAATTCAGAAGGAACAATTGAACAACATATACAGTTAGTTGAAAGGATAAAACTCACTTTGTTGTGTGGCAAGACTATGAAGGCACCACCGCCAGCAGATTCCACAATGATGGCGAGGAATTTCGGGTTCACGGCGCAAAACGTTGAATCCCATGAGGACTTGGACACTCTTATATTGTCGTAACATTGTTCACGTTTCAGAGCAGTCCCGTACACGTGGCGGAACTTGCTGCTGCGCACCACACGGAAAGACATATCTGCACCTATTTTCCAAACAAATGAAAGAAAAAAATAATAAAGGGAGCACAGAGGTTAATGTAAAAGATGCAGATATGGTACCTTTCTTATTATAATTATTTTAATAAATTAATGTTACGTGTCCATCGCTAGCGTGGGCGTCGCGTGGACCATCCCCGTTTTATAAATAGATTCCCCACCCTCGACGTTGAAAATGAGCGCGACTGAAATAAGAATATTTTTCGAAACCTGACTTTTACGGTTTACGGCCCTCAAAAATGCGTTCAGTGCTGCCAATTATCCATGAATATTTTCGAAATATTTCAGTAGGCCATAATTGGTATGGCAATCAAAAAATAGACACGATCTACCCGAAAATAAACTAGCCGCTGCTTTTATGCTACGATGATTCACACATGATCGTCATAGCGTTCCTGAATTTACATTACTACACGTACGGTGCCGTCTAAGGCGTGGATTGCAGCCCAAATAAACTCTATTCTGATATTTTCGGACAAGACCAAACCTTTTGACGTTATGCCAACAATAAAGAAGCTTCACAAGGGAGTACCGAAATTTCCACGCCACTGGAGAACGCATTTGGGTTAATTATATTCAATTAAACGTCTTTCAAGTGGAATTAACATATTAGAAATCAGTTTCAAGTTAACTAGAGCAGAATTTTTTCTTGACCACAAAAACGAATTACCATCTATCGTCCACCCTGAGTTTTGTTACTTTATTTTACCCCGAACTTCACCAAAATTGATGTTAAGCAGAAAACTAAGTTATAAAGGAATAATTTCCACGTCCCGATTAGTACTTTTGCTATCGTCGACAGATTGACGCCGACTGTTAACTGTATCTAATCTACCACGTGTTTGTATACGGTACACACACTTGCACAGAGGTATTCACGCAGTAATTGTATACATACTGTGACCGTGCTGATAAGAATGCAATGATGCATCCAACGAGACGATAAAGTAATATTTCTTTTAAAAGGAACGACGAACACTTCCGACGAATTTTAACGTTCCCGCCGGCAATAATGTTGTACAGTAATTCACCAAATGACCACATAGTAGCGCTATGACACGCACGGCTGGATCATTTGAGAGCACCTTATTTGGAAGTGCGCACCCTGCTCCCGCGAATACCTACCCTTGAAGTTACCACCTCTGTCGTATTATGACTTATAAATTCGTCTACACTCGTGAAACTTTCTTACAATTACTATCTCATGTCTTACCACTACCCCCCTCCACCTCTATTCCCTCCGAGGCACTTGTATACGTACGAATTGAACGGTTTGCACATATAGCACGAGCAGCAGGATAACCGGTGAAGCTTGTTCAACGATTTTCGCGTGAATAATTTTTTCCGGGGCACCAGTGTGCAAAAAAGCAGTTCTCACCGACGAATTTTTTCCCGATGACAGGCGATGCACGCTTTTGGAAAAGAACTCTCCCCACCCCCCAAATCTCTCGCGCTAATGAGGATGATGGATGCGCGCGCTTCTAAGCTCAACATGGTCGTTCCTTGGCGCAGAATATACACGTTTTAAGAATACATCCGAAATACTTCGTTAAAAAATCATTTATAGCTCAATATTAATTAGAAAATTAGCCAGTATTATTAATCGATTGTTATTTGCGCGCTTCTTTTTCTTAAATATAATTGTAGCTAAAACTATTATACACAACGAGCTAGTACTATTTGTATAAAGCAATTATCTTAATAAATTAATTAATGTAGTTGAAAATGTAATAAACGTTTTATTTTTCATGATAATTGAGAGAAAAAATGTCTAAATTTATTTAGAAATTATGTATTGTTCATTTTTGGAATACCTACACTATATTTTCTGGCGTATCCGCCTTTAATGTCGTTGTCATTCTATTTTTAGTAGTCAGCCCTTTGTAAAGGAAAAATGACTATTTTTGTAATCTGTAAGTTCAATAAAATGAATAAAATTTATAATTTTTTAATCATTTTTGTTTTAATGGATGCGCGCGTTTCTAAATGCAATATGGCGCTCTAAACGCGGAATATTGAAAATTCTAAGTCACGTCCACATCAATCATTCAGTAAGTAAAATTGTAATTAATCTTTAATTGTAATTAATTACAATAAACTCTGTAATTAATTTTTGTAATTAATTTTTATCTGTATTTGATATTTAAGAATTTATGATTGATTACATTTGCATTGCAATAAAAATATTGAAAAGCAGACTTAAATAATATATATTCAAGTGGGCATCCATAGAACATACTTAAAATTAAAAATCACCTTGATGGATATGTGACTAACGTATCTTCGTATCATTCATGACGATCATCTCGAAGTTGCATATGGTCGCATGTATGTTTTGTTGTTGCGAGCGATGATATGTTCAGATAAGACTGTGAATACTTTCATACTTTAACATTTAGTTGGTAGAAATGGGTAATCAAGTGACACGTGCCGGGCATGCATCGAACAAGAAGACTGATGCTGTCCCGCACACCGGCGACATGGCCAATGCGAATAGTCTGTCGAAAAGTTCCTCCGGAACCGAATTAGAAAGTAATTCGCATATGCAGTTCTTTCCGATCGAGAGTCTAGCAAAGGTATGAAATTACCTTATAAATGCTACCGTATCATATTCATTGCGTTTTCAGCGTGAATCGATCAAAGAAAATTTGTTCAATATATCACAAAAGAATGGTGATTTTGTCCGATAAGTATTAATTGTTACAGACAGTTTTTTTGCTATTTTATAATTGCGAACTGTCTTATGCGTTTCATGAATGATTTACAGGTTGCTTTTGAACATTCACCCGTTATATGATTATTATTATTAGTATAACCTGTAAAAATGCTCTGGAAGTAATATGTTTCTCATAGATGACATTATTGTGTTGGAAAGTTTAATTTTGATCGTTGTTGGCTTTACTTAAAAATTTTAACAAATATGTGCTTATTCTAGTCTTATCAAATTAAATATTTTGTTATTTTAATATGATAACACTGATTCAAATTAATTTTAAAGAATATACCAGTGACATTATGTATAATACATTTTGCAGACTTTGTCTCATTTATCTCATGATGAGGAACGTGTAAATGGTATTACAAAATCTGTGTTCCAACGGTACCTCTTCCCTAATTATCTAGAACTAGGCGAAAATTTGTTCAACTATCTTTATCATGCTGCTAATGTTAGTACTTCATATTTGAGTGCCAATTCTTTCAAACAACAAGCTGAGAAGTTCATTTCTATAATGAATGATCAAATCATATTAGAAAATTATGTGAAAATGTATTCGGATGTAAGGGGAGATGGAAGTATTAGTCCTGACAGATTGAAAGCCTTATTGAATCTTTCTTATAAAATTGCCATGGACAGTAGTGGAACTCCTTCATGTCTCTATGCAGAACAAATAATTAATGCAGTTGCTGTATCTTGTGTCAGTAAATTTAATATTTATTACAATATAGTTTATATATTATTTGCTTGCATATTATAAAAGAACATGTTACAGTTTCATGGCAAATATGCTTTGTCTGTGAGTTATGTGAGCAACTGGATTTGGCAGCATTGTCCACGCATAGTCTATGGTCCTCATCGTTATGTAATTCATGTATTGACAACCGCTTATCGCAATGGCAAAGCTCTGTTGTCTAAAGAACAACCTCAACCACATCTGGAGATACCAACACCTATATTAGAACAACCAGAGTCCTTAGATTTTCCTCAGATTTTACTACCTGTAAGCTATGTATGGTTGTTATCAACCACTCTACCTCAATGCTACCTTCAGGTATATACCAATTTGAAATCTTGTTATATATTTTATTACACTAGAGAATAATAGAATAATTAAATATATATTTAGGCAGATGATTCACCAAAGGATATTACTCATGCCTTGATAGCTAAGAGAATGGGCAGTGTATGTCCTAGACACTGGACATTGTTATACAATAGCTCAGAAAATGGGACAGGAGCTAATCGTTTTCTTCATCATGTGCTAGGTTACAGAGGTCCCACTCTATTATTCATACGAGCTGTTAGTCCAGACAAAGATACAGTCTCTCCCACACTTTGTATATGTTCAGCAGTAGAATGGCGTGAAAGTCATCTGTATTGGGGTGACGAAGATTCAATGGGCATTGAACTGTTTCCCTCATATAGAATTATTGAGAAAGGAGGCAAAGTATTATACCTGAATACTAACATCAGGGGCTATCCTCACGGATTACGATTCGGAAGTAATACCCGCTCGCCATATATCAGTATAGATGAATCATTCCATTCAGTTAGTATTGCAGGTGCACCTTATCCAATTGCTAGCTTAGAAATGTGGGGTTGTGGAGATACGAAATTGAGGTAACATATAGTTTTGTTCAGAATACCTTTTAAAAGTCAGATAAATTTGAATGAAAAAAATTAATGGAACAAATTTTTTAGGGAACGTCAATTGGAAATTAAAAAGTGGCAAGTAAAGGAAGCAGAAAAGCAAAGGACCGTTAAGTTAAGCGCTAGCGACTGGATAGATCATCCTGATCGCTACTTACTTGAATTGGCGGGTAGGGCATCTTATAACGAGTCGAATAAATAGTCCTAAGAAGATACTGTATTATAGCACAAAATTAATTCAGGATTCTAGTAGATTACTTGTATATATGTATATACTATCAAGCATATTGCTGCTAGAATATGTACTTATGCTGTATGTGTAAGATCGCAACCACCATATTCAATTTGCTTTTTATTTTAAATGTGTACTTATCTAGTACACCGAGAAATGCAGATTATAATTATTTATGGTTATAAATATGTCAGAACAAGGCGACGATTTTTTATATTTGATGAAAACTGACAAATTGACATCGAAATACCATTTAAACTGTATAGTAGCAGCAAAAAGAACATTTTTTTAATTTATTAGTTATGCTTTATGAAATTGTTACTTAAAACTAAAATCCAAGTACTTATTTCAATGACCTAACGCAGTATATTTTAAAATCGTACTTTCATGCTCAATAATATTAGCGTATTAGCATAAATGATACGAGTGAAATTCTTGAAATATTCAAGATGAAGATGTGCTATCTTATAGAATGACGATTGAACATTTATGATATTCAAATAATTTTTGTTAATATTGTACTTTTTTAATCGTCGATAGAATATCAAATATACACGTGTACTTGTTGAAAGTAGGATAAATGTAGGTGCTGTTGCACATTTCTGTGTGACCTTAAAAGAAACCTCAGCTATCGTGTGCCTTAACTTCGTGTTGTCTAATTCGATCAAACGCGATGCATATAATTTTCGTAAATTTGCATTTTTTTGTATTTTGAAGCTGTGACCATTATAGCGTGCCTTATGTACATACTTAAGAAAAAGAAATTAATAAAATGCGCCGGATACTAATACTAGACAAAATAATGACGCAAACAACGAAATAAAAAGTACGCTTTGTGAGCTATATTCGCGTCCGAAATCGTATTTTATCTTTTGTGGACAAATTTTCCAGCGTTCCATAACTTATTACGAAAAATTAGGATTTTGTTCTCGAATAAAATTTGTATCTGAATAAACAATGAAGTAGCTAAAAGGGTTTTTTTTATTTTAATGAACACGGTTAATGAACAACGTTGCCTCTTCGTTGATGAATAAATAAAATACTTAACATATATTTGTTGTTATTTTTCGATTCCCAAAGAAATGATCATGCTTAATATAATTTTTAATATGTTTTGTTTAGTCATTTCCATAACTTTCCGCTTCAGCAACTATGATAGAAGAATTTATTATTGCTCAATATGAGAATTCTTGATATAATATATATTTCTACGGAAAGACGAGAATTACATAAAATCGTTCAGTCTTATTCCAAAAAGGTAATTCAAACATTATGTAATACACGTACATAAATTAAAGCAATTTTAAAAATATCGATCATGAACTGAGCTAATTTTGCAACGTCACTGAATAGTGGAAAGTAAGAGAAAATAACTTTTGCATAATTTTTACATAAGTACCTACATTGATACAACTGAACTTTCTCAAAAATATATCCGATGAAGATCGACGTGATCTCTAAAGATTCATTCATGGCTTACTGTAAAAAACCCTATATTAGGATATCATATGAGGATACACTTGTTTAAATAAATATATAAAACTATATCTAATAGGTTTTATATTATTTATGCTACCTGATGAATACGGGATGTGCTACGAATGGAAGATACGCAAATCCAATATACTCATCTCTAAAATAAAACGATCGTTTGAAACATTGAAGTGATAGAAGAACACGTATCTTGGAATGCAGCTAAAGACGGTTGTAATTATAACCGGCTGTATAGAATTGGAAGTGGTCAGATTGACCAAAGTACGTTTGGAATTCAATATCTCCGTCATCGATATCGTGTTCACTGTCATAACGAGATCGCTTTTTAGGATCAGAAAGAATTCCATAGGCTTCACCGACTTCCTTAAACTTCTTTTCTTGTTCTTTCTTTTCCCCTTCCGTTGCATTAGGGTGTCGATCTGCGTACAATAGCGTAAAAACCGACTAATATAATTAAATTATGGTCTAACTGAAGGATGATACATGTTTAAACATTTACCAGGATGATGTACCATTGCCCGTTTCCTGTACGCTTTTTTGATGTCATCAGTCGATGCATTCTTACCAATACCTAAAATCTTATAATAATCTTTCCTCTTTGATTGTTTCAATGCTAATTTCGCTTCCATCAGCAATCGTTTGCTATCTATAAATTAATGTTCAAGATGATTACTTACAAATATTATTTCTTTACCATAAAAGCGAACTTTCTCTTTTACCGCGACTCTTATCCAGTTTACACGCTTTCTCGAAATCATGAATAGCTTTTTCGTATTCTTTAAGTTCCATATAAGAAGTCGCTCTTTTCAGAAGGGCTTTCAAATAATTTTCATCTAGTTTTAGTGCTTCTGTACATTCTACTATTGATTCGTTTAATGCACCTAACTATAAAGTATTGAAATAAATTAATAATTTCTTTTCAAAAATTAATTTCAACAAAAAGCGAAAATATAATACCTTTGCTGCGACTAATGCTTTATTGAAATGAAGTTTTGCATTTGTAATTTTGTTTAGGGGATCTATAGTCAAGGCTTGTGTGTAATATCTATATGCTTGTGAATACTGCTTCAGTAAATAAGCCGCGGCTCCTTTCTCTTTTTCCGTTTTCAAGCTTTTGGCTCGCTGCAAAATTACAATACAATGCGTAGATGTTTTATACAAGTATCAAAGCATTTACTACCTTATATATTTCTAATGCTTTGGCATGATCTGGCGCCAATCTGAGCACTTGCTGAAAGTGTAGATATGCCTTGTCAATATTATCTTCGAAATACTGACACATACCACGAATATATATGGCATCTGCATTTTGCTTATCAATATGTAAAATGTCACTAAAATGTAAATAAGTAACTTAGAATATTTTTTACTACTTTAAACACGCAAAAGAAAATAAACAACATACTTTGCTATTTCTTGTGCTTCCTGATACCTTTCTAAAAATGCCAAGCATTCAGCTTTGGTTAATTTAAACCTTGTACTAGCAGTACTCACATCGCAAATACGGTCCATGCAGTATACAACCTGCAATATTTGGATGTATTAAACATTACTATCTAGATTAGTCTCCACATCATTTTGATGTGTTTGAAAATTAAATCCCAAACCTTACGATAATCCTTAACATCATATGCCTCATCTGCATCTTTAAGATACCTTTTTACATATTCTATTATGATCCTTACTTTTGTAGCAACAGACTTATTTTCAGGATCAAGTTCTGTCAACTTTGATAAAGTAAATTCAGCTTGAACAATTTCTCCCAAAAATAAACAACATCTTATAACTCTTGTATAATCCTAGAAAAAAAATGAATTGAAATAAAGAATAATAATTTCATTTATAATATACCTGTATATGTACGTATAGCTTACTTTGGGCTGTTTGGGATCCAATTCAATGCACTTTTTCGCATCTTCCAAAGCACGATGATATGTTCCAATCATCATGTAACATGCTGCTCTGTTTCTATAATATAATGCATTGGATTTTGGACACAGATCTAAAAGGATATTCATTCTATAGATTCATCAATTCACACTAACAATAAGATTCATCAGTTATAAATATAATACTTACCAATAAGTTCACTGTACTCTTTCACTGCTTCCTTATATTTTTTATCTAAATAAAGTTTCTTGGCAAACTCATTCCGCTTCTCTACCATTCTGAAATAGGCAGGTGCTTTCACCATATCAATTATGTAAACCCATAAAAAATTACCCAAATTATAGATTAAATATAAAATAACGTTTATTAAAAATTTTAAGCAATGTTGAAGGCTAAATTGAATATATTGTGCCTGTACATTCGAAAATGAACAATTAACGTATTAAATGAAACACGACATTATATTTTCTCGTTGTATACTTACTCTTTGGAAAACTCGGGACTCTTTATCATCACTGTATGTTTTTACAAATACT